TTGTCGTTAATTTCCGCCGAGCACGTCCGCAGCCACAAAGCGGCGCTTATGATTGATAATTAATTATGCGCGTTTACCACAACCACACAGCCTGAACGATAATGCACGCCGCTTAATTGGTGCGCGGCCGCGCTAATTAACGATTAAATGTGTAATTTCTGCGAATCGCCGGCGCGCGCGTTTTACGACTGTTTTGGTGAAATTTTACACACGCCGCGATGTACACACATACACACACAGACACAAAAACAAACAGGAAATACACAAGAAAGCAGATAATACGATAAGGCGTTCATTAAAGCGAAATTATTCATTATTCATCCGCTTGATTGGGGATTGGAAGATTTTAGATTGCTATCAATTTTGTTCATTTTCAAATTCGAATATCTCCTAAACCATCAAAGATATTAATTTACTCTAAGCGGTATTTTAAAGAGAAAGAAAACATAATTTTATTGCGTGAATTTCAAGTTGATAACTTTCATAACCACAAAGTTACAGCGTTTTTAAAATTATAAACTATTTAGAGGTTAATAAGGCGACAATGCCATCTATTTGCATGAAAAAAAGTAACTAGTAATTAAAAATATTAATTTATCAAAACGGCAATCGAAAGAGAAAGAAACAAAGATCTTATGACGTAAATTTCAAGTTCTCAGCATTCATAACCTTAAAGTTACAGCGTTTTAAAAACCTAAAAATAATAAAGAGGTTAATAAGGCGACAATGCCATATATTTTAATGAATAAAAGTAGGTTATAATTAATATTATTGATTTATCAAAGGGGCAACCGAATGAGAAGGAAATCAAGATCCTATGACGTAAATTTCAAGTTTCCAGCTTCCATAACCTCAAAGTTACAACGTTTTTAAAATTATAAACTATTTAGAGGTTAATAAGGCGACAATGTCATCTATTTTAATGAATAAAAGTAGGTAATAATTAAAAATATTAATTTATTAAAACAGCATTCGAAAGAGAAAGAAACCAAGATCCTATGACGTAAATTTCAAGTTCCCAACATTCATAACCTCAAAGTTACAGCGTTTTAAAAACCTAAAACCATTTAGAGGTTAATAAGTCGACAATGCCATCTATCCAATCGATGAAAAAAAACGAGTAAGTAGTTATTAATTACGTTCATAAAGTTCTCACGTCATGTGAAAATGATGTACTCAAGTGAACCGCTTTTTATTAATAAATAATTTCACGACGTGATGCATCGACAGGTCTCGATCGGGCGCAATTTATCGTCCGTGCTGGCCGGCCTGGGTGGATGTGGATCATCATAATATTGAACGCTAATGTAATTTCATCTTATTAAATGTCACGCTTTTTCCATCCGACGAACGAGCGTCACGTACGTGCGCAGGAATTTTAGAACGTCTCATCCGTGCTTCTTGTATATCACATCGAATCGGATCGGATCCCGCGTACCGACTGGCTTTTTTCTTCATCTTGCTTTCAGTTGTAATTGCGGCCGCGGCGGCGTGTGAGTGATGCGATTCAATTAGAAAAAGCCATCAAGCGTTAATTAATAAAAATCCACAAGCATTCGCCCATCGCTTCGCGTTGCGTGGGGCAAAAAATTCGCGATTATTACAGCGATATATCAATCATTTTCAGCGTTTAAAGTGGTCTACACGGATTAATACCCAATTTCACCGATAGATGGCGCGACTTGCACTGGAATTACACAAAATAGGTTAGGATATTTTTCCTTAGGTGATTTTATGTTATATTTTCCTTAAAATTAACATTTTTGTAAATTTTGTTTTTATTTACTGATTTTTAATCATTTACACCGTTTTTTTAGTTAATTTTTGCAACACAAAATGATTAATATACGATTGTGACAGTTGTTTAGCACAAAACTTAAATTGTCATCCATCTTGAGTCCGGCTTTCGTGCGCGCCGTTTAAATTTACATTTTCGTCGCTGCTCGTTGGCTTTTTATTGACGTTTAAGTCGCCATTGCGCCGCTCGTATAAATTTATAACGGTGACTTATCGCCGTCGATTTGAAATTCGAAGCGCACGAGTAAATTCAGCGCACACCACGCGCGATTATTCTGCGAAATGGCGCCGCCGCCGCTTACAAATTCCGTCGATTAGCACGAATTAACAATATAAATTAGTCGCCAATAAATAAAATGTGCCCGGCACTTATTACCAAGAGCATATGGATCGATTTATGTCGTCCAACACCATTTCTAGACGTAGAGTGATTTTATTTGATTATCGGCAAGATTTTTATCTTGATGATGAATTTCCAAAGAGATAAAAATCGTTTTTTTATAAACTAGCGACATCTGATGGTTTAATAGTGCATGAAATAGTAAAATATGATAATAGATGGCCTTAGGCGTTGCTATAACCCAATATAACCTATAAATATTTAAAAATAAAATTATTTGAAAGATTTTTCATCTAAATGATAAATTTTTAAGCAAAAAAGTTTTTGATCAACTAGCGACATCTAACGGATAAATAGTGAATTAAACGTTGAAATATTATAATAGATGGCGTTGGGTGTTGATATAATCTAATATAGCCTATAAATATTTAAAAATAAAATAATTTGCATGATTTTTATCGAAATGATAAATTTTTAAGCAAAAAAATTTGTTTTTTGATCATCTAGCGACACCTAACGGATAAATAATGAATTAATTGTTGAAATATTATAATAGATGGCGTTGGGTATTGATATAACCTAGTTTAACCTATAAATATTCAAAAATGAAAAAATTTGCAAGATGATACTTTTTTAATAAATGATAATTTATGAAAACGTCAATGGAATCTTGTTAGCATTTTAAATCACATCTTCAACACTAAATCATCCTCGACGCAGCGCGCTGTTATTGCGCCGGAGACGAACGCGATAATTATCTTTGCATTATGAGCAAATGATGATTTTCTCGTTTCTTTCTCCACCGGAGGAGGCTCGTCCGCTGCGCGCGCGCACTAAATGTCATTTTAAATCAGTTGTGAAATAAATCAAAGCCTGCTTTCCTTCGGCGCGGAGCTCCCGCAGGTTGTTGGTTCGCCGGCTCTCAATTCCGGCGAGAAAAACGCAACACAACGCACAACACCTCGCATGTTAACAAGAAATCATCATTTGATTCTGGTTCGTGTACATACGGGCGATTCAGGTACGCATAGCGCACGCGCACTCAACTTAAGTTATAACTTATAAGTCAACTCAAAAATAATACAAATTAAACAAACGTGCGCCTGTATTTGTGTTTATGTTTGAGTTAAGTCAAAGTCAGTATGGATTAGGATTGACTTAAGTTATGTATGCGCTTAAGCTCAAGTGAGTTATGCAGTTTCAAGGCAAAAAAGAATAACTACACAAAGTAATTACTGTACACACAAGCGATATTTGCGTTTATATTGCTTATTATTTCGTATTAGCATTTACTTAAGTCACTTACGAGTTCAATTATTCAATGCTAAACGATGCGCAAGATAAAATTGTTATTGCTGGCGAAAAATAAATCACTTTTTATCGACATTCCACGATAAATACCTAATAATAATTTATCGAAATTCATATTTATTATGATCGCCAGCTATCATCGTAATTGTAATTGTAATTTATCGTATTACGCTGGTTTTTACAGCTTGCCATGCACCAGCGACTCTCGGCAAGTGCCTGGATATTATTTATACTTGTGCTCGCATTATTTATATTACATTTATATAGCTCAACATAGCACTAAACGACTAAACTTTCGTGCAGCGGATATTAATATGAAACATGGGGAGTTAAGAGTAGTTTACATGTTTGTGGATAGAGGGCGCTACGCGTTACTTGAAAAATTTTGGTTTTTGTTTGTTTTTTGTGAAAATTTGAAGTTTTTTGAGGAAATAAATTAATTAATTATTTGTTTAAATAAGAAAACAGACTAATATCAACAGAAAATTACAGATACTTTAATTTTTAACCTAAAAACTTTAGAAATTATAAGTTTTGTTGGTAGATGGCGCTACGCGTTAATAAATTCATTTAAAAAACTGTTATTTTGCTTCTTTTGGCAAAAATTTGTATTTTTTTAAATAAATAAATAAATAAATCAATAATAAAGCAAAAAAAAAAACAAAAATATTAGAAAAACAAATATTTTTAATTTTAAACCGTAAAATTCAAAAATATTAATATTTTCAACAACAGAGACGAAAATACATTAAATTTTATAAATAAATAAAAACCAAACCTTCAAATTGGGAATACCTATCAAAGTAGGTATCAATGCAATCTTTCACCCAATCCAATTTCTCACCTATTTTTGGTGCGGTTTAATTTTATATATATTTTATAAATAAAATGTGTAAATCAGCCACATATAAATTGGAATATCAACAAAATATAAAATATACTAAACCAAAATGAAATGAACTTCTTATTTTATGCATATCGTCACTTAAACTTCATAATTTCAAAGAGAAAAACAAAATTTTAAATTTTTGTTCATTTTACTTAAAAATCCAATTTTAACCTAAATCCCTACTAATATTATAATGTTTGTTGCACTTTCACGCAAAAACTACTTAACCGATCATCATGAAAATTTGTACACATATTCTTAGTGGTCCCCGAATGGTTATAGGCTACTTTTTATTTAATAAAAAAAATTATTTTTTATATAAAATAAAGAAATAGTTTAGCCAATAATACCTCTGCTTCTGGCTATTTGACTACTTTAACGCCATCTAGCATTCCAGCAATGAAGCTCAAACCTAAGTACTATAGTACCATCACACTGTATTATCACACTGTATTACCGACAGCTACGTCAACATCAAATCCAATTGACTACACTATGGAGACTGTACACTATACTTCCATAGACTATACTTTCAGCCATTTTAAACTTCCCGCCATTCTACTTCATTGTTACTTCTTCTGTGACTACAACTTCATTATTTTAGATATTCGCGAGCGAAGCCGCGGGTTAAAGCTAGTTTTCAATATTTTTATTGTAAATTACCTTGCAACCCTCGCATGTGAACGCCCCAAAGTGAAAACCAGCCGCTGGCTCGCCGCAAACCTTGCACAGTTGGTTCATCTGCAATAAAACAAGAAAAAAACGCACACATTACTTAAGTAGGTGTTTTACAATTCACAATTGAAGCAAACAGATTTATTTATTAATAGTATGTATTCCCACATGGCGTAAACACACGTTGGTAACATTTGCAACGGCCGTAAAAAATAACACTGAATTAGTTTGTGTAATTAGTTCGGACTAATTTTCTCACATGCAAAACACGCAGCAAACGCTTCCAACTAAATGAGTTTGCTGAAAAAGCGCGAAACGCACAAAATTAAAAGCCAGAATGCGGCGCGCTGCGCGTGTAATCTCATTAATTGCTCCACTAATTGCTTACTTACTTAATTTCGCGCCACACACGCACCAAAGACGCGCAAGCGCCCGCAGACGCACTGATTATGCTTATCAAAACGTCGGTAATAAAAGCACCGTTTAAAAAACAATTCACTTAAGTCGTTTTAATTATCTTTTTCTTTATTTTTACTCAAGAAGCTTGAATTTTAATAATACAGCGGCGCGTATGGAAATTACGCTGATGTTAGGCAACCAGTAAAACATTTAGTTGCTAAGAAAATGTTTTCGTGTGATACAAAACTTAATTTCGTTATTTTAAGTCACTTGCGCATGCGCATGCGCATTCTACCCTAGTTGTATAATATACTTACATTTAGTACTATTGCGCATGCGCATATGGCTCAGTAATGTAAGTACAACATTAAGTGCGCATAATTGCCCTAATATCATTAACATTCCAGCGGCGCGCGCAGCTTTACGACCAACCACAATATTCCTCGTGCATGCCGCGCATTTGAATAAAATTTATTAAAATCATATTAGCGCGCTTCGATAAAACTGTTGTAAACTCGGTGCCGTTAAATCCGCTCGTAAATGTTGACTTAATTTTCCAAAGCCGTGCGCGCATGCGCAACAAAGCGAAAACTCCACGTGTGTGAAATTTCCAAATTAAATTTCGCATTTCCACAATTAGCGCCATTTTGTTTCGTCCGTGGTGGTTTTTCAGCGCACGCTTTATGAATTTAATGAATTCTAATTGCAATCATTGTAGTTATTACGAGCTCGTCGAGCCTGTGCGCGCTTTTTTGCTCGTCTCAGACAAGTAGCAAGCGCAGTAATTAATTATGAAGCGAAATGACATACAATTATCATTGTGTAAGGCGATCTTTTCTTGTCGTTCCGCACGGCATTACCATATTTGCGGATCTAATTGGCCGTATTAAAAATTATTGCGCTATTACCAAAACGGGTGCTTCACATCGTGTACGCTTCGCGCAGTCGTTTCAAACGCAGCGCGCAGCTTTCTATATCTATCCACGACAAGAAATACACATTTAAGTAGGTATATAAATTTTTTCACCCGCAGTGAATAAAATACAGTATTGTAGTCAAACATCATACGTCAAATTAATTAATACGAAATTAATCGCGGTTAATTATTTATGCGCGCTTTAATGCCGACTGGACTGAAACATGAGGCGGTAATAAAGTCAAAACGAAACAAGATGAGGCACAAGATTTACGAGATTCGTGATAAATCCTTATTCATGCAGCGCAATTAATCTCGTCTCGTTTTGATGTTTGACTAATTTCTAATAACGCGTAATGTGACGCTAACCGTTAGCGCAATAACGTTTTTGCGCATGCGCAGCGTACTTTACCACAAAGTCATGGAAAAATGTGCGTTGTGTGTGTTCCCTGTGTGGTGCTGGCGTAAAGAGGAGAAGAGAGTCCATTTCTGTCCATTGCGTTCATAACAGGTAATATATCTGTAACGCAACACCTGCGACGCTGTGTCTGTCCGAAGACGGGTGGATTTATTGCGCACGCATCGCGAGTAAGTAATCGCCCCACAGAGGTGCGCGAAGTCATCGCATATATATTGTCGCCGACAAATCGACCACACAGGGGAAATTTCCACACGTTAAAAATTGGTGAGTTATTGTTTTACATACGCTAGACATTTAATAGTACCTACATTAAGTATCAAGTGCGCTAAGTGACACTTTAACCACGGTTATTATTTTTTCTATTTCCACTTTATTTCCATGTTTATTTTAATGTATTTTGTAAATACACAGGTGTATGCTCCAACTAGTGACTAAAGTACTTTAGTCACGACTTTTGTCACGTCCGTGATTAAAGTGCCACTTTTGAGTCACAAAACCGTGGAAAAGTAATATAGGTAATTGAGTTTTCATAAAAACAAATTTTTTGAAAATTTTGAGTAAAATTTTAAGTGTTTTGATAAAATATTATATTTTTCATTCATTTTCCGTCGATAACATTAAATTTTTTTACTTTAAATCATACATTATGCCGAAATTAGTCACGGATAAATCCAGCCGTCGAGTTAGGGGAAAGTAGCCATATTTGGACCATTTTTATATTTTTTGATTTATAGAGCCACATATAAACTGTCAATAAAAAGTAAGTAGCGGAAAAGTAACTCACAAGGCTTACCAACAAAATGATATTTTTGGTTTAAGTAAAAATTATATTTATACCCCTCAAATTTCAATTTAAAAAAATTGTGTTTTTGGTCCAAATTAAGAAACCGGTTTCCTAAATTGGACCATGCTTTTTTAACGGCAATTGACACAATAGTAAATTTTAGTTTTAGCAGTAACACAAGCACATTTTGTATAAACCAAAGTGCGGCATTTCATACAGTGGATCATTTCGAAGATTTGTGCTCGTCCACAAGCTTTTCTAGGAGGTCGAAAAAATGATATACGTTTTCCCTGTTAAAACCCCGGTGCCTGTCTTCGGTCCAACTTGGGCAACTTGAAGAATTTATATTTAATGATCAACGACAATCTTAATATAACATAACCTCTCAAAATTAATACTATAAATTATAGATAGATAAAGAAGCTTTCTGATGATAAAATAATAATCGGTAAAACTAACGTTTTAACGGCTTGACAGCTCTTGCACTTACGTCGTTATAATAGATTTGATAATCAATGATACACGAAGTTGTTGTCACGACGAAAGCACGCGGCAAGTTTTAACCCAAATAGTTGCATTAATTGTTTATAAATACGAGTAAAACAAGGGGCCTGTCTATTTTTGCACAAACTTCAACAGTCCGCGGATAGCGTAGTGGTCCAACTTAGGCGCTGGTCCAAATTAGGCTACCTTCCCTATTGATTTACATGCTCTAGGCATTTAATAGTACTTTTAGTATCTAGTGCGCTAAGTGACACTTTAACCACGGTTATTATTTTTTCTACTTCCACTTTATTTCCATGTTTATTTTATGTATTTTGTAAATACACAGGTGTAAGCTCTAGCCCGTGACTAAAGTACTTTAGTCACGACTTTAGTCACGTCCGTAATTAAAGTGCCACTTTTTGAGTCACAAAACCGTGAAAAAGTAGTTTAAATTGTGTTTTAATGAAAAAAAATGTTTTTTTGAAAATTTTGAGTAAAATTTTAAGTGTTTTGATAAAATATTATATTTTTCATTCATTTTCCGTCGATAACATTAAATTTTTTTACTTTAAATCATACATTATGCCGAAATTAGTCACGGATAATTCCAGCCGTCGATGCACACATTATTTCATCGAAACCGTTCATTATTATCGATCGCACCGCACTGGTTCCTTTTAAGCACGCTTTATATCTTAATCTCGCTTATTCATCTACCACGCCGCGCACACAACACAACAAAACCGAAAATAAGCGCACATTTCGCTCGGAAATTTCTCCAAATACTCAAAATCCCAACTTGAACATCACTTAACCTTAACGCAAATAAAATGACCGTTTTCTAAATAAGTACCCATACTTAGCGAGTCTAAAATATTTTATTTCCAGCCATAAAAATCAAGCGAGCAGTGTAATAAAATAAATTGTATCGCACCAGTTTTATTTCACTTTATTTCACTTTGCGGACGCATTATTAAATCAACGCTGATTGCCTCTGTGTGTGTGTGCGTTGTGCGCATGCGCGCACGGCTAAGTAAGTTGCGGCGTGCGCGTTGTGCGTGAGTGTGTGTTGTGTGCGCCGTGTGTTGTAAAGGTCGTGATTTATGATTTAATAATCGCTCCAAAATGATTCTGTTTGAATAGATAATTGATTATCTCGGCGTTTCTCTATGCGCGCGCATGAAAATGTAAATTGCAGATTAATTCACTATTAACCTTAATGATTCATTAATCTGTGCGGTGTGTGCCCGAGTGTAATTATACGGATTTTATGTGCCATTCAGGGCTTTCATTTCGAGAAACATTCAAATATTTTCATTTTTAATTGATTTAAAGACAAAAATTCAATGTTTAATGTTTTGCGTGAATAAAGTATAGTATTCTACTTGATTTTTTTCTTCTGCTGCTGCATAACTAAGATTCAAACGCACCGCAAAGTAAACAAGCTTTAGACATCTTCCTGCTCCGCGCAGGTCTAGCGGCTACTGCGCACCGCCACCGCGATGCCCATATTAAGCAAAGTAGTATTAACCGCATCGATTTCGAATATCGTCGCTGAATGTTGAATAGTTGAGACGTGCGCGACGGCACAATGGCGGTAATTGTTCCGCGCGCATGTCGTCGTTGTTTATGTGCGTGTGTGCCGCCGAACGACTTTGAATAATAACGCACACTCATGCGGCTAATTTCGCCATGATCGATTTATTCAATTTCGCACCGGATTATAACCGTGTGACAAGCTGCGACAACTGCAACCAGTCGGACGGCGCAAGTGCGACGTTTCTATACCGCTGCGCTGACGTTTGTATTAAGCGCACACATTTAAATAAATCAAATTTGTTTTGAATCGAATCGGTGGAAGCGGAGTGTGTCGTATTGTGGACATCTACGTAGGTAGAGCACGTAACGCGCATTTGTCGTTTTATTTCAATGCGAATCCATAAACTGCGCGCGCACTGCTTAGCATCTTGCGCATGCGAAGACGCAGTGCAAGCCGCACGTACCCATCACTCCATTAGCGCTCGTTTGTCGCGGCGCGCGCACCATTTACTTAGTTGGGCTATTCAAATCACTCAAAGGGTGACACAACTGACACATCTGACACGTTAACAACTCAGGTATTGAGGAAAATGTTGTAAATCAAAATAAAAATATGTTTTTGTTTTGTTTTTTGGCTTTGTTTGTGTTTTTCAAAGACAATTTAAAATCTAGGGTTGTGTTATTGAAATTTTAGGGTTTTTAGTTATTTTGGTTGGTAGTAAACACCCTACTGTTGGTACATACCCGAAAATTAGGTTAAAATATTTAAAAATGACTGAAATTTATCAGAAAATATAAAATTTTGCAAAAAAACATCGAAAAAATGTAAAATAACTTGGTTTTATTGAAATTTTAGGGTTTTTGGTTATTTTGGTTGGTAGTAAACACCCTACTATTGGTACATACCCGGAAATTAGGTTAAAATATTTAAAAATGACTGAAATCTGTCAGAAAATATAAAATTTTGCAAAAAAACATCGAAAAAATGTAAAATAACTTAGTTTTATTAAAATTTTAGGGTTTTTGGTTATTTTGGTTGGTAGTAAACATCCTACTGTTGGTAGACAGTCGGAAATAAGGTTAAAATATTTAAAAATGACTGAAATCTGTCAGAAAATATAAAATTTTGCAAAAAACATCGAAAAAATGTAAAATAACTTGGTTTTATTGAAATTTTAGGGTTTTTGGTTATTACAGTTGGTACTAAAAACCCTATTATTGGTAGACAACCGGAAATGAATTCAAAATAATAAAATATGGCCAAAATCGGTCAAAAAATACAAAATTTTGAAGAAAAAAACATAAAAAATGAAAAATCAGACACAAAACTTAAATATTTTCTAAAAAAACTAAACTTTTATTAAAATAAATCCAAATTTTAAAATTTATAACCTCAAAAATTAAAAAATTCTCCATTTTAATAATTGTCATCATATAAGCAAATACTCAATAAAAGTATGTGTGCCGATGTGTGGTGCATTACTCGTTTCGCCTCTCCGTCTACATCTTGTTCTTTTTCCTCAGGTGCGCTCTCGGTGAAGAGATGCTGGATGCATCTCGGCGCGCGCGCGCGCGATCGCGCACGGAACCTACAAAGACCTCTCGTGGGAATACGTTGACCTACCTGTGTTTTTATTTCTCGATGCGTTCGCTATTAGAATCTAACGCGCGCGCGAGCGGCGGCCGCGGCTGCCCGTTCGCAAATTACACACACACACACACACACACACATACATAACCTCCAACCTCTTCGGACCTCTGAGTACGACGACAGTGTACAGGTGTGCGGTATATTCAAGTGTACCAAAGAGCATCACGGCACATACCTAGGCACTCGTAGATAGTATAGCACACATGGGAGTAGGTATTCTACATCAATATTGCAGCCGAAGAGGTGGTTGTGTGTTGCATGTCGAGTGTTGTACTGGGTATTGTACATTTTCTGGTAGTTCTGGTAGTTCTGGTAGTTCGAGAGTGTGCTAGATTGCGAGCATGTACACGCGTCGCGGATGCGCAGATAAATAAATTCGCACTTTGGAGTTTGCAGTTAAGTATTGCATTTGAGTGCGAAATTGACTTTAATTTAAAATCTATGGGGGTTTTGGTTGGTTTAGTTGGTGGTAAACACCCTAAGGTTGGTACACAACCGGAAATCAGTTTAAAATATTAAATAATTGATGAGATAAGTTAGAAAATATGAAATTTTGATGAAAAAATTTAAAAAATGTAAAATAACTTAGTTTTATTGAAGTTTTAGGGTTTTTAGTTACTTAAGTTGGAAGTAAACACCCTAAGGTTGGTAGACAACCGGTAATCAGTTTAAAATATTAAATATTTGATGAGATAAGTTAGAAAATATGAAATTTTTAAGAAGATTTTTTAAAAAATGTAAAATAACTTAGTTTTGTTGAAGTTTTAGAGTTTTTAGTTGTTTATGTTGGTAGTAAATAACCTACTGTTGGTATATAACCGGAAATTGGCTTAAAAGTTTTAAAATTGACTGAAATCAATGAAAAAATATAAAATTTAAAACATAAACATCGAAAAAACATAAAATTATTTAGTTTTATAGAAATTTTAAGGTTTTTAGTTACTTAAGTTGGTAGTAAAATCCCTAGTATTGGTACACACCCGGAAGTCAATTCAAAATTTTAAAAATTCTGTCACACAATAAAAAAAATTGAAAAACACAAAAATATTAAAATCTAAGCAAATTTTGCATTTTTAACCTCAAAATACTAAAAAATTATTTAAATTTAAAAATTTCCATGATAAATTAACTTAAATAATTTAATATCTCACTGACAAGTAATAAAATAAACTCCTTCATTTTCTATCCTCTAAACCTTGGAATAATTTTTATTAATTTAAAATTTTTCTCGAAATTTGCATCCTTAATAAATCAATTTGTCACTTAAACAAGTTTCAAGAAAAATACTCCTCATTAACATCGACACCACATAAATATAACACACTCCTGAATGTTAAATCTCCAGCGCTGATCAATAATACCAATATCATTAATAAAATTACAACCTTCCAACGCTTACAGCCTTCAAAACCAATCCAACTCATCCAACAAACAGGAAATCAAATTATACCCAACTCATCTCCTCGCAACTTTTACGCATTCATTTGCTTTTCCCGAAGATATTTCTTCAATATCCGGTAATCGCGATAAATTAAACGCACTTTCAACGTGTCGGCACGTGGAAGTCGACAAGTTGTTAAAAGTCTTCAAATTAAAACTGACTTAAGTCGATTACGCATGCGTGTAAAACGTATTTCATTTAAAAATAATAATTTGACGTGTAATTAGAAAATATAGACCAAGAAAAAGTCTTGGTTATTAGGTAATTAATTTATGACAAAAACATCTGCGATTATTAATATTAATATTGAGGTGTCGGGCTCGTTTAATCCAATTAAACTTAAATTACACTCGGCTAAAATTTATTTCGTCGATTATTAAATACCGCTAGATGAATGTAAATATAAAATATCATCGGTGTGTTTATGTGAGTGTTTGTGTGAAGAGAAATGACCACTGGCTATTTTTAAAGGCATTCATCGCCGCCAATTGAATGTTAAAAATTATAAAAAATTAAAATAATAATCGACAAGTTAAGATTGGAGAAAAAAAAACGCATGAAAGAAAGTCATTTATAACGCATGACAAGCAAACAAACAAAAACAACGGCACTGAATTTCCAAAGTTAATTAACTTAAGTCGATTTAAGTGATATTAGGTTATGTTAATTATGCAAATCAAACCTTTAAGCGCGTGTCGTCGCGTGCGTGTCATCTGCGTCGGCATTCCGTCGAAAAGAGGCACTCACGACGATGTCGGACACATCCCAGATTACCACCCGACTTAAGTCAATATTACTTTTACTTAACTTAAGTAAAGTCAACTTAAACTTTTTTTTAATTTTTAATTTATTTTTTAATATTTTGTGCTCCGATTGTTTTTGTTTTGGTTGTTTAGTCGTGGCGACGGAGACGACGAGGCGCACGACACACTCTCCGGCACACGGACAGGTACTGAGCGCGAGACGCGACCAGCGACCAGCATCCAGATCACCTGTGCGCTCTCCCAGCTGTATCCGCGATCTGACCGCTGAGTTCCAAGCGTAACCGTGCGCGGCGCCACTGGTCGGACGTGACTTGAGTAACTTGTGAGAGTAGGGCGCGCAGGAGCAATTGTAATACTCGCAGGCGTTTGATTGGTGGAGGATTGTAAGCCGCGCAGCGCTTGAGTGGTGAGTGCATAACAAGGAGGAGTATTCGAAGGCGTTGAGATTGACCAATCACTCATGTTACTTAAGTCAAGTGACTTAAGTCAAGTGACTTAAGTCTATTTCACGGAACAAATCGACCTTGTTTAAAAAGTGGCGTCATGTTATTTACTATTTTGTTAATTAAGTAAATTTGTATTTTTAAAATTTTTGTTTAAATTTGAAGTTTGTGGGAAATTTGTACAAAAACCAGCATGTCATTCACGTCGTGCGCGTGAGAAGCGATTATGCCAGAACGTGCCGCAACGTTCTGCGCGATGGAAACGTGCAAGTTGGCTTATAATAATTCGAAATATCTGTGTTATCTGTGCATAAGTTACACTTGTTTCTGCATAAAGTGCTTCAACTATTGCCGTTTTGTTATTTATTATTGTCTCGTTTTTGGCATTTATCTGCATGGCAAGTATTGCAGGTTAGAAGCATGTCACTTTGAAGGTTATGCCGACTTATTTAGAATGTGAGAAATGTTGAACTAGTTTAGGTATTTTTATCTGTTTTGAAGGTTTGAATGTTTAAATGATATACGATTGAGTGCCTCGGGGGCCTCACGCCTCTTTGGCTAATCGAAGACAAACACACGACTGCTTTCTACGTTGTTCTACCGCCAGAGCACGTGGTAATGTTTAAAAAAATTAAATTGACTTAAGTTAAGTTGACTTAAGAAATTATTTTGCTTAAATTTTTATTTTTTGATTTTAACACTCGATTTCTTTTGTAATTCTACCACCAGAGGGCGTGGTAATCTATAAAATTTTAAATTGACTTAAGTTAAGTCAACTTAAGATTTTTTTTGGCTAAATTTTAATTTGTTTTATTTTTAACACCCAATTTATTCCAACTTTTGCATCTAGAGCACATGGTCATCTTTGAAACTTTACATTGACTTAAGTTAAGTTGACTTAAGAAAATAATTTGCTAGAATTTTTATTTTTAGATTTTAACACTTGATTTCTTTCAAGTTCTTCCACCAGAGAGCGTGGTAATCTATAAAACTTTAAATTGGCTTAAGTTAAGTCAACTTAAGAAAATTTTTTGCTAAATTTTTTTGTTTTAGAGTTTTAACACTCGATTTCTTCCTAATTCTACCACCAGAGAGCGTGGTAAACTATCCTAAATCTTTAAATTGACTTAAGTTAAGTCAACTTAATTTTTTTGCTGCAAATTTTTTATTTTTTTATTTTTATCAGCTTTCGCTATAAATCTCCCTTGTGCAAACAGAAGTTGAAATTTCGCCGCGTTCGCCGCCGCCGAGATTTATTATCAGCACGATTTTATGCAAATCGCGCGCGTCGTGCGCATGCCTACACGCCTCAAGAATGTGCGATAGTTTCGCGCGCCGTGTCCGAAGACGAAAATATTTATAATTACCGGCCGCAGCTGGAGACGGCCGCATTAACAACATTAAAACGAAATTAATTTTTTTCGCCGCTCGTAAATTGTTCAAACATTCTTTTCGAGCAGTGTTTAACTCGCAGGAATATCTACTACACAAAGTGATATGGAATACAAACGAAAAGACGCGGTCATAATTCAGGAATAGATTTCCATATGCAAATGCGCGGCGAGCGCAAGCGGCGCGTTCGATAAATTTCGATGATTAATTAATTAGGGGAATTCAATCGAGGCGCGACAGCGTTTTACCGGAGGCGCCGACGGTAAGTAACGCTTTGTGTGCTTGTGATAAATCAGCATCGCATCAAATTCAACAAATTTGGGCATGGGCATGGCTGGAACTGTTGGTGGAAGTGATAGTTGACTTAAGTCATGTTTTTTGTGTCCAAAAATAGAGTTTTTGTGTCAAATAAACATAAATTCGTTTTTTTAACCTTAGGAAAAGTAAAAAACCTGAAATTGCAGGTTAAGTCAAAAGTTAAGATGACTTAACCGTTAATAAGTGGACTTAACAGTTTGTGAGGTTATAAAATGCGTTGAAATGTTGATTTAACCTAAAATTTCTTTAATTTTTAGAAAATATTGGATTATAGCTTTTAGTGGAGGGGGTAATAGACTTAAGTCATATTTTCTATGTCGAAAATTAGAGTTTTTATGCCAAATAAACATAAATTAGTATTTAACCCTTAGGAGAAGTTGAATAGCTGATATCTTGAGTTAAGTCAAAAGTTAAGGTGACTTAAATATTAATAAGTCTACGTAACAGTTTGTGAGGTTATAAAATGCGTTGAAATGTTGATTTAATCTAAAATTTCTTTAATTTTTAGAAAATATTGAATAATAGCTTTAAGTAAAGTGATAGTAGACTTAAGTCATATTTTTTGTGTCCAAAAATAACAATTTTCTGTCAAATAAGCAAAAATTAGTTTTTTTTACCCTTGGGAGAAGTAACAAACTTAAAATTCTAACTTAAGTCAAAAGTTAAGATGACGTAACCGTTAATAAGTCTACTTAATAGTTTGTGAGGTTATAAAAATCCGCTGAGTTGTTGACTTAACCTCGAATTTCTTTCGCTGTGAGGTAATATTGTATTTCGATGGTTTTTCTCGCATCGAATGTCATTTATCTCGCTGCTAATGTATTCCGAGCGCATTGCGCGCGGCGGCGCGCGACGTTTTTCATTTCAGGCACGTGGAATTTAATAGACCCGCGCGCCGGGTCCCCAGGTCTCCACCGGAGTCGTCGTCGTCGTCGAGTATTTAGCCGCCGGTTTTTCACTCCGCCGACACTCGAAGAGGAAGCACAACGCACAACGTGTTTTGTGTGCGCAACTTAAGTCATAAAGTTTATTGATTTATACCGACGTGCGGTCGAGAGTCTCCGACGTTTTCAGAATCTAAGTGTAAGTATTTGTTTCTTATGTCTGTATGTGTGTGTGTGTTGGGTTGTTTTTCCGCGAGGCGCGCGCGGAAAGTGTTTAGCGCTGTGTTTTAATGCCTCGAATATTGTTGCAGATTTATGAAAGCCGCTAATGCGCTAATGCGTGCACGCGCATGCGCATTCACACACTGCGCCAAAAATCTCAGAAAAACTATCAACTGAGGTAAATCTCATATTCTCATACCGTTATCTTGCGGAAACTCGTCTCGCGACGAATTTTCACAGCGCTTCGGACACACTTTATCGCGTCGTAGATCAATTCCGATGTTTGCAACGCGGATTGTTTTGTGTACACGCATGCGAGTAACGCACGTTTATTATCTTCGCTGTGCGCTGCGGAAGATGTGCGCAAATTTATTGCTAATTGACTATAATAACATATTGCGTTGCGCAGCCATAGAGAATTGAAAGAGTTTCAACTTAACTCAGTCATTTTTTTACGTTTCAATCACATTTTGAGGTTATACAATGTCAAAATATCAAAATAACCTCAAAAATTCTGAAACGCTGAGACGCAAATAAATTAACGCGCGTTTGTTGCTCGCGACAGCAATAAAATACAAATGATGATATACGCGCGTGCACGTATGATACGAAATTAATTTATGTTTGATGGTAATTAAGGCTGGGCATTTTATTTTATTCGAAGATATCCGCGCGTATCGTGCGTGCGATCGTCGCCGGCCGCCATTTGCATTCGTGCGAGATGCTGTGCGCTGTGTCAGAGGTCACATCATGATCGATATGGCCTATAATCTAACATTCTAACGCCACACGTACGGATCTATGATCCGCCATAAAAAAAATTAATAACTTATAGTGCGGAGACGCAGATGCGCGCGCATTCAATAGAATAGAATAGTTAGAAAGTTTACGAATATGTATTTAATTCGAGTTAAAGTTAAATTATTGATTTTCGTGCGCGTGGAAAACTGTAAATTCGATGCTATTCAATACATTCATTAAGTGTAATCAATATACAACTGGCAATTAAGTTTAAAATGCGTAATAATGTAATAAAACGCGCTGGATTATCTCATGCGATGAATATTTGCACGATCCATGACACCGTATACTAGTTTTTATATATAAACATCGCATATTTGCGTTTTAAATAAATTACGCGATCGGTTGTTTGATTTCTCTTGTTATTGCTTTTAAATTAATATTATTTTACAATAAATAGGGTTTTATTATATGCAACCAGTGTATAATTGGTTGCCTATGTCACAAGTTGGAACATGTTGATGTGTGATGTAGGTTGGCAGCACTGCTGTTTGTGTTTTGCTTCACGCCATGTTTCAAACCAGTCGCTTCTGCACTCGATAAGAAACGTTGTAAGAAATTACTTATTATTTCGTATAATACCCAAGCTAGCAGGGAAAACTCTTAACGCAAATGTAAGTACACGTTTTATTTATGTAATACAAGTTATTTGAGGTTTATAAGTAAAGTATTTACTGTGTATTCATTGATTTAGTTGAGTTAACCTCAACATCATGGACATTCGCCCTAACAACACGATTTACATCAACAATCTCAATGAGAAAATCAAGAAAGAAGAACTTAAAAAGTCCTTATATGCGATATTTTCGCAATTCGGACAGATTCTCGACATAGTTGCCTTGAAAACACTCAAAATGCGCGGCCAGGCTTTTGTTATATTCAAAGAAATCCAGAGTGGAACAAATGCACTGCGTTCCATGCAAGGATTCCCATTCTATGATAAACCAATGAGGATACAATACAGCAAATCTGATTCTGATGTAATTGCAAAAATTAAAGGTACATTTGCAGAGAGGCCAAAGAAAATCCGCCCACCGCCTTCAAGTAATGACGACGCACCTAAAAAGAAGAAGAAGAACAAGGACCCAAATCGCGTTCCGGGCACAAACAACGCGGAGCAACCTCCGAATCAAATTCTTTTCCTCACCAATCTACCGGACGAGACCAGCGAGATGATGCTGTCGATGTTATTCAATCAATTCCCTGGTTTCAAAGAAGTGCGTCTTGTTCCGAATCGTCACGATATTGCTTTCGTCGAATTCGAGAACGAGCTGCAATCGGGCGCAGCCAAAGACGCTTTACAAGGGTTCAAAATTACACCGACGCATGCGATGAAGATCTCATTCGCAAAGAAGTAGACATAGTCATAGTTTTACGTTTTATTCATTAAGTAAACCAAACACAATTCGGTGTTTTCGGAATTAATTTTGTTTTGTAACAATTTCCCTGCATAATTTAAAGAAAATAAGTTAATTTTAATCAATCTATGCGCCTGATGTGTTATTATCAAGACAAAAACACGTAATTTTAGAGTTTTTTACGCAGATAGTGGTAGATATTGACATGAGGACGGTTTATTTGAAATGATTTTAAATATCGGATTGACTTATTAAAAGTTATCAATGAAATGGGTTTCGAAGTTTGAAAAAAGTGTAATTTTTAACTTTTTTCGTAATTTTGATGTGGTTTTAATAGTTTAAAATGCGTCTCTAGATATTTGCACGTTAAAATCACATAATTTAGCATTTGTTACGTTTTAAAATCAATCTTGAAATCATTACAACTTTGGTTTGTTTAGTACAGCCATTTTGTCGCCATACCAATTTGAACATAGGCAACCCAATCGTCTTACTGCGTTCTAGAAACAAATTTTTTTGCTTACTTTAAATGTGTTTAACCTGAGTTTCCGAACTGGATATGTGTCTCATGTAGACTATTGCACAATCTATTGCGCATATAAATGTTTGTATATTAGCTGCTCAAGCATAATAACCCAACCCAATCTCATCGCACTAAATTTGAAAATCTCGCGTCGCGTTCGCAAATGTAAAAAAATACTGTACGTAATAGTCGGTAAACTCTTAAACAAATCTAGATGAACGGAATGTTCGGGAACGTAAGAACTGAATACGAAACACTCCGGGCTAGAACGTTTTAGCAGCTGCGTACACAAGTGAAGATGTGTGTGTTGAAACTAATCGTCGTGAGGCTTGTGATAGCACAGCAAGCCTCTGAGCGCAAGAATGCACCGTCTAGCCCGTGAGATGTATTAGTCGTCATCGATGACGAAGCCTGTCCGGCCCTGCTGCTGGTGCTGCTCGCGCTGTAGGAGATGCAAGCATTGAAACAGGCAGTGCAGCGATGCGGCTGAGGTGGCTTTCAACATCAAAAGATTTGGATCGGTGAAGAAGTACGAGCTGGACGTTTCTAGCGCTTGGCATAGCTTTGTGTGCGTTTGTTCTGATGTTGTAATCTGCGCTTTGGCGGCGGTGATTGCTTCAATCACGTCGAGATGTTCGTGAGGACGTAATGGCGTCGAATTTGCACTTATTGTCTAAAAAATGACAAAACCACTGGAGCAAATCATTTAAAATTTTGTACACATATTAAACATAATATGGAGTATCACCAGTGTGAAATTCAACTAAAAATATTAATTATTCACAAAGTTATAGCCAAATAATTAAGAAAAAACATAAAATTCGCTTTAAACATGAAATTTTTATGTTTTTGAATGTTTTAATGCTCAAAATTGATTCTAAGCTTACTTTTGTATGTGCCTCGGCAACTGCCCTCAATTTATTCACCCATTCCTGCCGTTCTCGTGCATCTGTAGCTCTCAGTTTCAACATATCACCAGACGCGCAATTTACGGTGAATGTTTTTGAATCTTCCTCGCTGGGGCAAATAACAGCCCCTGCTAAATGTACAGACCCTCTCGGTACACTCCTGCCGTTCTCTAAGAGGTAATAGTGTAAAACTCCCTCGTAACAATCGACGAAGAAATAGCGAAACTGCCATCCCTTCATTACGTTCGTGTATTTGTACAGTTGGCCGGTGAAGTGGCGCGACTTCTGGTCGAAATCCATCGCGAACACACTGATATTGCTTACGGTCAATTAATTAATACTTAGCTACGCTATTTTATGGATGTTTTAGAGCGTTTCAATCGCTTTTCGTCATATTTTTACTCATTTTATTCGCTCATACAGTCAAGAAGGTTATGATAAACTGGACCACCTCAACACAGCTGACTTTGGCAAGTTTAAAAATAGTCGGCTTCGGGTGTTGCCGTTTCATGAAAATATTAAAATTTTAACAGAAATTTAGCTTCTTAAAGCATAGAAAACACAAATACACATAAAAATCATTAATTTTACGTGAAATTTAGCTACTTTAAACGTAAAACATTTAATTTATTCATTAAAACACTTTTCATTTCAAAACCGAAACAACCCGAATGAAAACATGGCCATTTAAATTTCTCTGACAGATATGGGGAGTAATCAATGTAAACAAAGGTCGCTCATGTTTTATTGTGGTATTTTATCTGTTATCGTTTCAATAAAGACAGGTGCAAAACCTGATAGACGTAACTAACGCATCAAGGTCCACAAAAATGTTTAGATCGAGTTAGTTTATCGTTTCTGTTTCAAGCGTTGACTCATCAACTCGCTAATAATCCAACCTTCAAAATTAACAATTTCTGCATTTTAACTCATTTTGCATCACATTTACTTCTCTTTTATTCTAATAACTGTATTCTAAAACTTCAAACTAGTCATGTCGTCCCAATCAAGTTGCATTTTCTGCCAAATCTGTGATAAAACGTCTCCAGCCACAATTTATTATGAGGATGAGGAGGTTCTAGTCTTCAAAGATATTTATCCAGTTACTGACTTTCACATGCTATGTATTCCAAAGAATCACATCAGGAGTGTTAAATGTTTGTCTAAGGAAGACAAACCGCTATGTGAGTGTAAAAAATATTAAGTAAAAGTATAAAAACATCAAAAGTTATGCAATATTGCTTCAAGTTTTTACTGTGGAGCAAAAAATATTGTTTAAACATTAATTTTAGAGAATTTTAATGTTATTCAGTGTTCGGGCAGCAGTATATTACCAAAAATTAAGTTTTTCTAATAAAACCGCATAATTTTGTTTAATTTTTAACAAAAACAGAACTAAATTCGTATTTTTTTTAATTTTCCAGTAGAAAAATTAATCTCGGTTGGAAAACAAGCCCTCCTAGACAACGGAGGCACCGAAGACGACCTCCTGATGGGCTTCCACTGGCCGCCATTCAACTCAGTAAACCATCTTCACCTTCACATAATTTCCCCAGCTTCAAAAATGAACTTCCTCCATAGGCAAATGTTCAGGACAGGATCATTCTGGTTCGTCACAGTAAGTTACATAAACATAAACACTCTTCAATTGAGGTTTACAAATCTTTATCATTTGATAATATATCTATATGTATATATAATATAATACCTGTACATCTGTACTTCTGTATATAATGGTAAACCGTGTTGTCTCACAATTGTTTCCGCTTCGTGTTTCAGTCTGATTATGCATTGGAGTACATACAAAACAAACTCTGGTACGGTATCAAACGAGCCGCGTACAAGTTCAAAGAAGAGCGGCTGCTTGGCCGACGCATCTACATTCATTAATTCAAACTAAATCTTTCAGATATCTGCGTGTCAAATCCGCACAATGTGAAGTACAACAGATACACAACATAAAAATATATAGATAGGTACACGGAATTAATAGAATGATATAAATATTAATACAAAAATCAAGTTAGCGGCGTATTTTCAATACACAATATGACAAAAATATATTCTTCTTACATTTGTGTGATTAGTTTGTTTGTATGTTTTGTTAATGGAATGGTTTACTCTGAGGTATATTAGCTAATAAAGCATACTCAACGCAATTACAGATTAGTCTCAACTAACATACATCGATTAAATACTTCATAAATATCTCATCTCTTTTGCTTAATTTCTGTTTCAACAACATAACCATCGTGCAGCTCTTCAGATTTCATCGGATAATATATTTTCTCTACAGCTAACTTTACATAAATGCCAAAAATGTGATAGTTGTTATCGTTTCGTGAACGTACTCTACAACAATGTGTTCAGTTTCTTTTAGAAATCATTTTAAATTTAACAAACTTATAAAATTCGATGACGAGCAAACATTTCCTCGCGAATATTCACATATTGATAACGTCTCAAGTCTTTGGCGTGGTAATATAACAATACAATCGCTCGCGCATTTTCATTTCATGTTGTTTTGTATAAGTGATGTGCAACGGTCGAAAACTAACCTAATTTTTACATAAAAAACTCAATAATTATTGTACTTAGGTTAGGAATGTACCAAAAATCATGATAATTTATAATAAATCAAATAAAATGTTATTTTTTAATGTTTAAAACATTTGCACATCACTTAGCATGTTTTCTTTCGTTTCTTATGTTTCTTTTTCTCTAAATGCACTTGTAAATGCACATGTTAGTCTATCTGCTTTTAGTAATTTAGTTTAAGGATATTAAGAATAAGTCGAGACGATGATAACAAATAAGAACTTAACCTGATTTAATCTAATCCTAAGTCATGAATATCTTACTGTGGTTCTGCAGCAAGTACTGCGTGAAAGAATTGATTGGCCCGATGTCCGCCAATGAAATGGTCTTGTTCTCAGGCCAGATTAAATTCGGGCCGAAGACAACCGCCAGATTCGACGCAGTCATTTTGTTTAAATCTTCTCTTTCCATAACCTTTATAAAATGAATCATATACAAATTTTGAACACTAAAAAATCATTTATAACTTACTTTTGATAAGAACACGATGATATACTTTAAAATATTGTAGTTGTCTTCGGGTAAACGTTCGTTTACTATAGTATACGCTTGTTTCAGTTGTTTATCTTTGGGTGTTCCTAAAATAACCACAAAAATGACTAACATTCAAGTATTTTGATGTGTAACTTACTCTGGAAGTCAATAACAAGTTCATAAAGCTCATAGGTAAGCAGTGGTTGTTTCAGTTCTCTGAGGAACGTCTTCAACAATACGGCGGCTTGATGCGGATCACTAAATTCAATCATTATACCATCATCGACATCTTGTTTCATCTTTTTAATGGTTTGTACATTGGGAGATCGCCGGAATATTCCTTCCACTTCCAAAGCTGGAAATATAATAAACATGTAATAAACTTTAAATGTAAATATGTATTTTATTAGATTACCATCTGGATTATCCAAATATCGAACGCATTGCCGCAAAATCGGCGGAATTACTTCACCGTGATGAAGTTTTATCGCTTCCAGCGATGCGCCGAATTGTTTCGTTGGGTTTTCTTCTTCAATTTGTGCTTCCGGGCTCAGTTGCTTATTGTCCGTGCTTTTGGTGATGTCTTTATCGTATCTAAAGTAAACAATTGCTATTAAAGTGTGAATCACTGGAATTTTATACTGAATCAGAATGATTCATTACAAAATCAATATTGATTCAAGTGTTTTTGTTAGGGCTTACATTTTAACTTCATCAGGTATAGAAAGCAGATCCAGTTCGATGTATTCGCGCAGCTCGGAGAGCGTATTGGTGTAGATAAGCTTCTTGCCGAACTTGGCGCTGATAACCGGGCGGAAAAACTGCGATATAATCTTCAAAAAGTGCGTTGGATGGACGACGTACAAGGCTTTCAGGTTCTTCTTGTATTTGCGATCGAATGCGCGGTATGCTTGCCAGAGCCATCGCAACGACGGCTTGTTCTTGCTCTTCAGGCCATAGTGGAAGTACACTAGGCTGTAATCTTGCTCTACATAGGTATCCAATGTGTAAATTAAATATCTGCAATCAAATTCAATGATTTTTATCATATAAAACACTTTAAAGCAAATATTTACTCTAATAACAACTGATGATCAATTTTATTGATATCCGGAAGTTTGCAAGCGTATACAACGATGATTTTCCTGCCTGCTGCATCATCTCCCTTCACATCCACAATCCCCAGACTTGAAATGTTCAAAAATCGCTCGGTTGTGTCAGAATCCAGCTCCGGGTATGAATTGCTAACCAAACTATCATAGTTGTCTTCAGCAGCAAGCTCATCAAAGTGGTCCATTGTAAAGTCAGGTGAGGGCATGCTATCAGGCTCTATATCTTGTAGTGAATCAACTGATAACATAAAAATAAAGTAATAAATCACACAATTTATATAAATTTTTTTTTTAAAACTCGTGGACTTACTCTCATTGGGTATTGGTTCACTATGATGAAGTTCAGTATCATCAAACTCCAGATTAGGCTCATAGTCATGATAGTCTGATAAAGAAGGATAAGGCTCCTCCATATCTCCAGCATACAAACCTATTTGTTTCGATATTTGAATAAATTACAAAAAACAATTGATTTTAGTGTTGATAATGTGTGCACGGGATGTGATTAGGCGTGTTTTACCTCCGGCGGTGCCGTGGGGCACGCTGGATGCGTTGATCTTGTTGCTATCCATCGTTATCACCGTTTTCTAGCGCATACTTTGGGCCTCCTGGGGCTACCATGCACTTCATGTGAGTTACACCTACAGGAATGTCCCTCCCAAACCGAACAGCTGCAAACGCACGACGCTTTCTAAACCGGCGATAAAATCCTATCGTGTCGCGATGCCTTGTTCGAATGCTCGTGCAATGGCAAATATTTACATAATTAATTTTTTTGCGGGCGACGGGCTCGCAATAACGCGTTTCGTTTTTGTTATGACAGATTTGCGGATGGTTACTGATTTGTCACAGGATTTGTTTTGTCAATTTAGCGTAGGCAAACCAAAATGCATAGAAAAGTAAAATGCTTTAAAAATACTTGAATTAACATGTAATCAACATTATATATATTTTTAAAATAAATTTTAATTTAATTAATTACTTCAATGTTTGTTGAAATATCGAAATTAAAAAAGTTATGCAATAGTTTTAAATTTTAAGCATAGGTGGCGCTACAATGCAGTTATTTTCTTTAAATATTGCATGTTTTCGATTGTGAACTTGTTTTAATCTCATCGATATCATTGCAAACAAACACTAGAACGATTGCAGACATTTTATACATCAAAATCGATTTGTATACATCAATATTTGTTTGTTTACATTGCTGCACAATGAGGTAAAACATAAGAACATGTTTTATAACTAAAATTAAAACAAATTTAAAATCAACTCTTCGCTGCATTTGATATTATATTAATTATAATTTGTTTATATTGTTGCATTAAATATCAAACATCATCAATCAATACACATCAAATACAGAGAAATAAATTTTACACAAAATGTTCGGTGACGATCGTCATAAAAGTGATCTCAAGCACGAATGTGAATTGGTAGTCAAAGATAATGTTACTTATCGGTAAAAATACATTTAACATATATAAAATTATTATTTATAAACAATATATTGTATATTAGCTATATCGACCATGGATTGTTCGTTGGATTACGTCGTGCATTCCGGAAGAGACTGCTAATCGACGAGTCCAATCCACGCAGCCGCAGTTTTTACAAATCTTCTTTTATCATGACGAGAGAAACAATCTATCATTTGAATTTCTATTATTTCATGATACATCCATTCAGCTCGTTTCGAGAATTCTGGGAATGTTTACAAATAATTGTAATCCTGTTTCAACTAACCCAGATACCTTTTAATTTATTACTCATTACTAATCCGCCGCCAAGATATCTCACTGTTCTTCCAGACCTTTGCACAATTGCTGATATTATTGTGACGTTCAACACAGGATATGTTCACAGTCAAGCAAATTGTGTTATTTTAAATCGAAGTCGTGTTGCTAAGTAAGTGAAATTTTTTATAAAATTAAATAAAACGCTGTTTATTAATGTTTTAAATTTTAGGCACTACATTCTAACAACTTTCCTGTGCGACTTATTATCTTTGATAAGTTTGGATTACATCGTGATGATGATACATGGAAGTGCCTACCTGGAGAATATTCCTTTCTACAATCATTTAGAGTTTGTAAATGTTTCAAAATGGCTGCGCTTCTTCGTAATGTGGCTCTATCTTAACAGATTAAAAGAAGTAGGCAACTAAATACACACCTATATATTTAAAACAACACCGTTTTTATGTTTACAGTCAAGACAAATCAACATTTTTGCCATGGGTGTAATAAAATTAATCGCAAGCATTACCCTTTTAATAATGTGGATTTGCGCGTTGAATTATGTCTCAACATACAGCACAGCATGGCATGACAAACAAGATGCAACAGCAGCATCATACACTGTATATAATATTTTCGGTGATTTATACATTCAACATGTCCGCAATATGGTGCTTAGCGCATTCCATTTACTTTTCCTCATTGGTACCCGTGATCCACCTGTAAACTTGGGCGTCCTCATAGCGCAGATGATCATGATGCTAGTGGGTTTCATCTTACATCTCTTGGTACTCTGTCAGATGATGCAATATGGGACCAGGTACAATTCGTCTTGCAAGTACCAGCAATCTGTGAAGCAGCTCACTGATTACATGCGGCATAAGTCACTTCCGCCGGCACTACAGACCAAGCTACTTAAATATTACGACTTCCGGTATGAATTGAGTTACTATCAAGAGGATCATATAATGAAAATTATGGGTCCGCAACTACGACAGGAAGTGATGTTGCAGTCGCATATGCATTTCTTTGCAAAGTTTCCATTGTTTGAGATTATTCCGTTGGATGTTTTGTTTGGTGTTATTATGAAGATGAAGATTTCTTGTTACATGCCAGCAGATACAATTATTGCGGCTGGGGCAAGGAACACGGCGATATTTTTTATCAACTACGGATCGATTGCTATTTATACTATATCAGGGAAAGAGGTTGGTATTTTTTTTAATTGTAATGAAAATGAATAATTTGATTAATTATAAATGCTAAATAGTTGAAGCATTTGGCTGAAGGTGAACATTTTGGGGAATTGGCTTTGATGGGTGATACTAAACACAATTCGGATACTATAATTGCAATTGATTGCTGTGAGATATATGTTCTTGATCGGAAGCATTTTATGGATGAGATTTCTCAACGTCCTGAAGTCTACCTCAGAGTGACACAGTATATGAGCGAGTATGTCGCAAAGTATTATCATGATGATGTGGATTTGTACACGGATGCTGGTAGTATAAAATAAATGTGTATTTTAAGGTTTTTTCAAAGTTTGTTACATTGTTTTGTCTTCTATTGTTTCTATGATGTATCGTAAATCTGCTTATCTGACTTGCTGTTATGGTTTAGTTCTGTAATGAAATTTAGATGGCGGTAGGATGATTTTATTCGCGTTTAATTCACCGCGTTTTATCAGTGGTGTTTTCTTGGATTTATCAGTGAATTCAATTCCAGCGACATTCCAGCGTTCTTGTACTTTTAGATATACGAAGTCACGTAGGCACGCAGCATATCGCAGTTTAGTCGGGTTTGTTGTTGTTGACGGTTGGTTCGCGTGCATTCCTCGCGTGATTTATTACGGTTTTTCGGTTTTTAATTCGGGTTTTCGCGTTAAATTTGGTCGACGATAATCGATATTCCGAACGTTTTTGGTAATGATATCGCGTGTGGAATCTTCATATCCGTTAATTTATTGTGTTACGTGTTTTCATTTAGTGTAGCGCCCAGTAAATATTGTTAATCAAATCAATTTGGTGAATAAAACGAATTTACAAGCAAAAACGGGTTTCCGACGGACCGATAGTGCCTCAGCATTTTGATTGCAATTATCCTGGAGACTAAAAGCGAGAGAACGGAATGGATTGAAAATTCTAAATTTTTGTGGAATTCTATATAAGGTAAGACGAGGGGCAGAATAATTATCATTATAAGAAAATACGAACCATAATTTCAATACATCGGCTTTTTGGGCTGGAACTCCCGTGAAATTTTGAAGGTATACAACCCTATAGCTACTAGTCAGGGGCGTAGCTACCGCCGTATTTGCCGTATCAATTATACGGGGCCCCAGGCCACGGGGCCCCCAAAGTGTGTAAGGAAAAACCTTTACCTCCATATAAGGGCCTCCAAAAAATTTTTATACGGGGCCCCGACAAGGCACGCTACGCCGCTGCTACGAGTATATAGCTATTTAATGCCTTCTCCGACGTATGCGATTCTAAGGTTTAAAATCTGAAGACTGTTTTTAATTCATTTAAGTAGATAGCGCGTAAGTTGTTCTAAACGATAGCACGCACGCCGGCCTCACAAATCACGCATAAACTGCCCAAATACCACCTGTACCTAAATATTGTTTAACACGCTCGAAACATGCCATGGAAGAGTATTTCTAAGCGATGGGCCTATTTCGGCCCTGAAAATCACACGGGAACTGTCTGAAAACCGCCCCTAAAGTTCGGTAATTTTTAACATTTTTGAACACATCCTGTGGAAATTGGTCATTATCTCGGGAACCATTTATGCCACTCTAATGTTATTGCAATATTTGGATAGAAGAAGAGTTTTTCTAAGCGATGGGCTCATTTCAACCTTGAAAATCACACGGGAACTCTCTAAAAACCGCCCTCAAAAATCGGTAATTTTTAACTTTTTTGAAAACATTCTGTGGAAATTGGTCATTATCTCTGGAACCATTTATGCCACTCTAATGTTATTGCAATATTTGGATAGAAGAAGAGTTTTTCTAGGCGATGGGCTCACTTCGGCTTTGAAAATCTCATGGGAACTGTATGATAGCCACCAGCAAATTAAGGTAATTTTAACATTTTTGAAAACATCCTGTGGAAATTGGTTATTATCTCGGGCACCATGTATGTCACTGTAATGATATTGCAATATTTGGATAGAAGAAGAGTTTTTCTAAGCGATGGGCCCATTTTGGCCCTGAAAATCACACGGGAACTGTCTGAAAACCGCCCCCAAAGTTCGGTAATTTTTAACATTTTTGAAAACATCCTGTGGAAATTGGTCATTATCTCGGGAACCATTTATGCCACTGTAACGATATTGCAATATTTGGATAGAAGAAGAGTTTTTCTAAGCGATGGGCCTATTTTGGCCCTGAAAATCACACGAGAACTGGCTGAAAACCGCCCCCAAAGTTCGGTAATTTTTAACATTTTTGAAAACATTTTGTGGAAATTGGTCATTATCTCGGGAACCATGTGCGCCATTGTAATGTTATTACAATATTTGGATAGAAGAAGAGTTTTTCTAAGCGATGGGCCTATTTTGGCCCTGAAAATCACACGAGAACTGGCTGAAAACCGCCCCCAAAGTTCGGTAATTTTTAACATTTTTGAAAACATCCATTTAATTTTTATTTTTATTATGTTAACGAAATTACTTATTTCATTATTATTTCGAGTTTACAAGGTGGAGTGTTGCGAATATTACACTAACACTGAAATGGACATAAATATAAATTTACTCACATAAGCGTGTTTTGTAAAGTGTGAGGTACGCTTTACATATCATGTGTGTGTTAACTAAGCTTTGGTAGGTTGACACAATAGGTTCCGGGCAACTGCCAACAAGACGATCGCTCGCACGAATACTGCTCACAGGAAACTGCCAACAGTCATAGCTGCGCACACCGATAATTGCTCACAAGGTATTTTGCTCACAGGCAATACTCCCAACAGCGATTTTTGCTCACCGATACAATTGCTCACGGAACTTTTGCTCACATTGCCGATTGCGCACATTCAGACGCTATTTTACGCTAACTTAAGTTAGTTACTATTTGGAGTTGTTTCACTTCGTTTTGGCATTTGTGAAATTTCGTGTTTGATCTTCTACCTACATATTGTGATATTCGTATTTTTTAACACTCAGTTTTAAAGTTTCCTAATCTTTGGTAAGTTACTATTTTATTACATATTATTGTAGACCAGGAATTTCCTTAATTCGCTTGTAAATTTTCTTTTTAGTGTAATTAAGTTTCATTTTTTGATTAAAAATGGAATTTACCAAGAGTGAAAGGGGCAAGCCCATTCTTATTTACGCTGGATTTGAATATCTTCAATTCAGAGTGAAAGAAAACATCATTGTTTGGAGATGCAGGCAAAGTCGATCAGCGAAATGTCATGCACAAATGAAGACATCAAATAATGAAATTATTGAAGAACCCACTACACATTGCCATGATTCCTGTCCGCAAAAAATTGAAGCACAGAAAGCCCTAATTAGGATGAAAGAAGTGATGACTGATATTGGTGCAACGCCAAGAGATGCCATTGGGGCGTTGATGGCGACCGTGCATAATGATGTTTTAACTCATCTTCCCAAGCAATCGTCCCTGCAAAGGAATTTGTGTAGGCATAGGCAAGCAGGACAATTGCCAAACCCAACAACGTCTGCTTTCGACATGCCGGCTAAATATGCCCCACTAATTCTTCACGACACCGGCCGGGACGATCCAGAAAGGATTTTAGTTTTGGGAGATAGCGCATTGTTAATGCAATTAAATCAGGAGGAAATATATGGCGATGGTACTTTTGATAAAGATCCAAAAATATTTTATCAATTGTTTACTTGGCATGCCAAAGTAGGCAATTCATATCCGCCATGCATATATTTCCTACTGCAGAAGAAGAATGCAAACACATATAGGAAGATGTTTGACATTTTACAAGAATTGCTTCCAGACCTCGCCCCTGTCAAAATTTTTATAGATTTTGAACAAGCATTAATGAATTGCGCTGGAGATGCATTTCCCAATGCAGAAATCAAAGGGTCTTACTTTCATCTGACCCAGAGCTTAGTCCGACAAATAGGCAATGTTGGCCTAAAACAGCAGTATGACACTGATATTCACATCCGAAATCAACTTAAATCTCTTGCTGCTTTGGCGTTTGTGCCCATAAAGGATGTCCAGGACGTTTATAATCAGCTGGCTGTGACAATGCCTGATGATGAATCTTATCGGGAAGTTCTTGGGTATTTCCGCGCAACCTACGTTGGTGCCCCTCATAAGAATCCGCAGTTTCCAGTGAGAATATGGAATCATTACCAAGCAGCACTAGAAAGATCTCCCATAACTACCGGTGAAGGATTTCATAATGCCCTGAATTCCCTTTTTCATTGTAGCCATCCGAGTGTTTGGCGATTGTTTGACGGCTTGCTAAGGGATATTGGGTGCAATAAATTAACATTGGTTAACGCGCTGACAGGCCAAATAGAAGTGAAGAAAAAAAAATCCGAAAATCTGTACATTGCAGTTTCCACTGCTGCACAAAATTATAATAATGCCGACGACAAAGTGCAATATTTAAGGAGTTTGGCAAATTTACAATAAATATAATTATTATTTGTTTTATTTTTTATTGGCTGACAGATAAATTCAGTTTTTGTTTTTTCATATATAATTATTGTTTTACTGTTATTTGTTTCACGTCCTATTTCCTCAACCGCCTAATTTTGTACAAATAAATAAAAACCTACTTATCTAATAGATCTTTGCTAGATAGATTCTTGCTTTTCAATTACAATGAATTATTATTATGAATTAAAAGTAATTAATTATTAGCTATGAAATTATATGTATATAAAATATTTCATAATTATTATTCATTGTTTTTTAATAAATATAAAAAAAATAAATTGTGAGCAATTGGCCGTGTGCGCAATCGTCAAAATGAGCAAAAGTCCTGTGAGCAATTGTATCGGTGAGCAAAAGTCGCTGTGGGGAGTATTCCCTGTGCGCAGTTATGACTGTGGGCAGTTTTCTGTGAGCAGTTTTCTGTGAACATTATTCGTGCGAGCGATCGTCTTGTCGGCAGTTGTCCGGTCACGGACACAATTATTCGTAAAAAATCTAATAACGAAATTACTTATTTAAATATTTATTTCTATTTTACAAATTTTAGTATTACAATTATAATCCTGTAACACCAAAACAGAAATAAATATAATATAAATGTGTTTTATGAAGTGTAAAGTACCCTTTACCACTACGTTTGTGTTAACTAAGCCTAGGAACTAAACAGAGAAAAAATATAATCCCTATAGAAAATTTTACTTTTGCAGTTGTTAATTATACGAAATTAGTTATATAATTGTTTATTTTTATTTTTTAAGGCGTAGTGTTACAAACATATCACTCTAACACTGAAATGGAAATAAATAAAAGTTTAAACGCGATGTATCAAGTGTAAAGTACTCTTTACAAACAACGTGTGTGTTAACTAAGCTTTGGTAGGTTGACACAATTATATATAAAGTATAATACATTAAACATAAATATATTATATAAAATTTAACTTTTATTTATATTAAGTTGTAGTAACTTATATAATTATTAATTACAATTTTATGATGTAGTGATAAAAATGTATCACTGTTGCACTGAAATAGAAATAAGTAATATTTAACTGTCCTATACACATATAAAGCGTGAAGTAACCTATACAAAAATGTTTGTGTTAAGTGAGCCTTAGAAGTTGTACATAAAAAATATAATATATAAAATTTTTCTTATATTTATATTAACGTAACGAAATTACTTATATAAATATTTATTTCAATTTTACAAGGTGTAGTGTCACAATTAAAATAGCTATGGAAATTGGTCATTATGCCGGGAATCGTTTGTGCGAGATTAATTTTTTCTTTATATTCAGGTAACGCAAGAGTTGTAATATTATAAATTCCACGAATTAGAGTAAAAAAATCTTTAGTTAATTTAATATTTAATTGCCATTCGTTGATGTATTATGAAACGCTATATAATATTTTATTTATGTAGATGCATTTGAGAATGGTTCCGTATTCAATTCTATGTTTATCAGGATTTTTATGTAAACTTGTACTACGAACGTGCGAACGTTTCAGTGTGTTTTTTCCTGCACGGGGCTCGTCACCATCTTTCTTCCTTTCATTTCAATTAATTGAACAGCAATACATCATATCGATAAATATCGGCATTTAATGACAATTGACGTGTTTTGTGATTTTCAAACATTGATTTGTGCGTGAAATGATTTTAAAACTTGTGTCTTCATTTGTGCGTTAGTGTACCGTCGGCAATTAGATTTTTTTCAATGCTGAGAATTGTAATTCAAAATTTATATGCCATTGTTAACTTCGAGTAGGTAGTAGGTATAATTAAATTTGGTCCTCGGCAGGAATTTACGGGGATTTAAGCAAGTTTACGTAATGATCTGAACATTGTGGGTCAAAATACCACTTGCAATGCATGTATATTATCTGACGGAACGGACTTTTTATTTAATTATGCAACTTAGTGCGAGTTCTAATTCACGTGTTTTTTTCTGTTTCAGTTCTTTCTTTGATTAGCTATGTCATTGGTAAGTTTGTAAATATTATTACATTATGATAAAATTTTTATAGTGCATGATGTAGCATGAAGTTTCTTCAACCACCCAAATGGTTTTCATTCTCATCACGCGTTATTCAGTTGTATTCCTAATTTTGTAATCGGGTTAACTCGTTTAATAGATTGATAATTAATTAATGTTGTCATATATATGTAAAACACGTTTTAAATGGCCTTCCGGATGTGAAGAAGAGCGATAACGTCGGCAGGCACTTTGTCTTGATTGTGGAATACCGGGAAAACTCATTGCAAAGAAAGTGTTATTGTGTTTATTTGTGTTTTATATATCCATCGCCCTGTTTTTACTCTTGTTTGATAACCAAAGATAAACAGGTATTAAAGAAAATTTTCTTGTTTTCCTTCTATCGCTTTAGTGCTTTATACAAAATGTAGTTGTATTTTTCTTGTGCTACCTTCGAAGTTCGGTACGGTGCCCTGAATGGAAGTCACTTCTACCGCTACCTTCGTACGGTGCCCTGACTGGGAGTCACTTTTACCGCTACCTTCAAACGGTGGCCTGAACACGACTTGCACCTGACTCCGTCATGGTAGAAGGACCATTTTTGCATCAGATTGTAAGTATTAAAATTCTTTATCATTTTCCTAAATAACATTTATGAATATCTTACAAATTGACCCTTAAAATTGCATTTTTATGCTTCGAAGGACTAATTTTTCCTTGTTTTAGGGATTTTGCACCTGAGTCCGACATCGTAGAAGGACCATTTTCACATCAAATTGTAAGTATTAAATTTCTTTATCATTTTCCTAAGTAACATTTATGAATATCTTACAAATTGACCCTTAAAATTGCATTTTTATGCTTCGAAGGACTAAATTTTCCTTGTTTTAGGGATTTTGCACCCGAGTCCCACATCGTAGAGGGACCATTTTTGCATAAGATTGTAAGTATTAAAATTCTTTATCATTTTCTTAAATAATATTTATGAATATTCTACAAATTGACCCTTAAAATTGCATTTTTATGCTTCGAAGGACTAATTTTTACTTGTTTTAGGGATTTTGCACCTGACTCCGACATCGTAGAAGGACCATTTTTGCATCAGATTGTAAGTATTAAAAGTCTTTATCATTTTCCTAAATAACATTTATGAATATCTTACAAATTGACCCTTAAAATTGCATTTTTATGCTTCGAAGGACTAATTTTTCCTTGTTTTAGGGATTTTGCACCTGAGTCCGACATCGTAGAAGGACCATTTTTACGTCAGATTGTAAGTATTAAATTTCTTTATCATTTTCCTAAATAACATTTATGAATATCATACAAATTGACCCTTAAAATTGCATTTTTATGCTTTGACGTACTAATTTTTACTGGTTTTAGAGATTTTGCACCTGACTCCGACATCGTAGAAGGACCATTTTCACATCAAATTGTAAGTATTAAATTTCTTTATCATTTTCCTAAGTAACATTTATGAATATCTTACAAATTGACCCTTAAAATTGCATTTTTATGCTTCGAAGGATAAATTTTTTCCTTGTTTTGAGTTTTGCACCTGAGTCCGACATCGTGAAGGACCATTTTTCTCATCAGATTGTAAGTATTAAATTTCTTTATCATTTTCCCAAATATCATTTTATGAATGTATCTTACAAATTGACCCTTAAAATTGCGTTTTTAATGCTTCCGAAGGACTAATTTTTTACTTGTTTTAGGAGTTTTTTGCACCTGAGTCCGGCTTCGTAGTGGACCATTTTGCATCAGATTGTAGAGTATTAAATTTCTTTATCATTTTCTATTAACATTTATGAATATCTTACAAGTGACCCTTAAATTGCATTTTATGCTTCGAAGGACTAATTTTCCTTGTTTTGGGGATTTTTGCCTGAGTCGACATCGTAGAAGGACCATTTTCTCATCAGATTGTAAGTATTAAAATTTTATTTTATCATTTTCCCAAATATCATTTATGAATATCTTCAAATTGACCTTAAATTGCATTTTGCTTCGGACTAATTTTCTATTGTTTTGGGATTTTGCACGAGTCCCACATCGTAGAGGACCATTTTGCATAAGATTGTAAGTATTAAAATTCTTTATCATTTTCTAGAAATAACATTTTATGAATATCTTTGTTGACCATACGTGCATTTTTATCCTTCGAAGGACAAATTTTTCCCTTGTTTTAGGGATTTTTGCACCTGATTCCGACATCGTAGAAGGACCATTTTACGTCAGATTGTAAGTATTAAATTTCTTTATCATTTTTCTAAATAACATTTATGAATATCTTACAAATTGACCCACTAAAATTGCATTTTATGCTTCGAAGGACTAATTTTTCCTTGTTTAGGGATTTTGCACCACGGTTTTGACATCGTAGAAGGACCATTTTTGCATCAGATTGTAAGTATTAAATTTCTTTATCTTGTTTTCTAAATAACATTTATGAATATCTTACAAATTGACCTTAAAATTGCATTTTTATGCTTCGAAGGACTAATTTTTCCTTGTTTTAGGGGGATTTTGCACCTGGAGTCCGACATCGTAGAAAGGACCATTTTGCGTCAGATTTATGAAGTATTAAATTTCTTTATCATTTCCTAAATAACATTTATGAATATCTTACAAATTATTACATAAAATTGCATTTTTATGCTTCGAAGGATAAATTTTCCTTGTTTTAGGAGTTTTGCACCTGGGTCGACATCGTAGGACCATTTCATCAGATTAGCAAGTATTAAATTTTGCTTTATCATTTTCCCCAAATATCATTTATAGATATCTTACAAATTGACCCTTAAATTGCATTTTTATGCTTCGAAGGACTTATTTTCCTTGTTTTGGGGATTTTGCACTAGGTCCGGAAATCGTAGAAGGACCATTTTACGTCAGATTGTAAGTATTAGAATTTCTTTATCGTTTTCCTAAATAGCATTTTATGAATATCTTACAAATTGACCGCCAAAGATTGCATTTTTTATTAAGCTGAGGACTAATTTTTCCTTGATTTTTTGGGGATTTTGCACCTGGGTCCGACGTCGTAGAAGGACCATTTTGCGTCATGTTGTAAGTATTAAATTTCTTTATCATTTTCCTTAATAACATTTATGAATATCTTACAAATTGACCATAAATTGCATTTT